ACGTCAGCGACACATCTACTGAATAAATGCAACGGTCATTATGACCAACGCTGCTCGACTCCAATAATAATATGGATCAACCTGACTCACATGAAAGTGAAGCCGTGCAAATTCAGTAGTTACTATTAATACAGACATAGCTTCATCTCAAAGGTCAGTGATTGATGTAACATGTTTTTACTAAAAAAATTGTGCGTGGTTATATAATCTGTGACTTGCCCAATCACAATGTATTCCCCCGCATAACGAAACTGTGCACTACTTTTATTGCTATAAATAAATTTATAACATAAATTCAATAAATATATTATTTAACGAAACTCGTCGTAAATTAAGATTTTAAAATCGTCTTTGTCAAACAATGCACCGAAAAGGGGTACGTGAACGAAAAAGCTAACATTTCTATTGATTAATCGATTAGACAAATAAAATTTTCTGTTCAAGATGGAAAACAATTCTAAAATTACAAACAGAATTCAACATAACATTTAGAGATATGCCGATCAAACTTGTATTATTAATTTACTTTCTGTGAATCAGTCTATTGTTTTGGTAAATCATAAATTACTGGCGTCATTTTAAAACTTTTTAGGTCCACTGGGTTTCAAATTAATCAAGTTTGAATGCATGCAGAAAACCACAAAAAACGGCACTGTACACGCCATGATTCACATACCTCTAGCGATTTGAGGCAGAGTTGCAACCATTTCGACGTCTCTTAAAAATGCCCAACTTTCGTAATGCTCGCTAAAAAATTTTCGATATGATGAATGAAATTAAACAGTCTAACCGAAAGTTACTTAAAACGATCGGTTAGGCAAATATATTATTATTAATCATTGTCGTCGAAAGATCTGGTTTACGGCATTCGTTTGACCAAAGATTCTAAACTAAGAATTTCCCAAGCATAGGGATGAATAATCAGGAAGAAATCACTCATAATAATGTGGTTTTTACCACATTTGCCAAGAAATCTGACCCGTAAAAAATTTTCTAATGGTCAGACATGAAAAATTTGGATGTGGGTTACTTCGCTGTTTCAACAGCAACAACAATAAATTTACATAAGACGAAGCTGCTGTAAATTTAGCCTGTTAGCAGAAGTTATACAATGAATTTTGCACGTGGATAAAAAGTGTTAACGATCAGCTGATGAGTTCGATGCCCATGCAAAGGTAGGTTTAGATACATCACCAATCTAGACGAGGTAGAGAATCTGAGCATAATATTCGAAGTCAAACAAATCTTCTACCAAGCAGACCCAGCAGTGGGATTTTCTGGAGCTACTATATGCAGCACAACATACTCATTATCTACTGCTAGCCAAATAACTGGAAAGAGTGATGCACCTTAGCAAAAGTTGGTTTCCCAATATACGACCGAACTGCTCCTCGAAACACGATTCGTTAAAACAGCTCCGCAGCCATGAGCGAATTCGGCCAATGTTGGTCGAGACCTGTTGCAATTCTTCAAATCGGTCCATGATCTCACTGTCCAGAACTTTCTTCAGAAATTCCCAAAGGCCTATAACATCCAGTTTCCTTAATTAAACTGAATAACAACATAAAGAATCGACAAAGAAAACGAATAACAAAAATATCTTCAAGTACACAACAGAAAAGTATTCATACTTGTAAATGCCGATATGAATAATTCTACAGGAAAACGTTGATGAAAATGACACTGCCAAGAATCATATTGCCACCTCGAGTATAATACAGTTTCAATCATCGCCCAGATTACCAAAGATACCACAGGTTATTGGGGGACTGAGACGGAAGGCTACAAGTGGGTGATCTGAACGTCTTTTGAAATCTGGTGCGGCGAAGCATAACGACAACCGCTATCAGAGAACGACAAAACGACGATTATGATATCAATCAACAACGGATTTGATACTGGTTCTGAACGGAGGAGGCAGACAGCGCAATGCCATTACAGCACATCAGAAAAGACTCCACAGAAATGATACCGCCTGTGGGAGCTGTCAGAAATAAGAATATATCCTCATTCAGACGTACAGGGCAGCAGTAAGTTGATGAGGTACCAACTCGACAGAGTTACATGCTCATCAACGAAGCGACAAGGTTCTGGAATTCTGAACCTCTGCGGGTGGCAGCCATTCTACACAGGTATCGACATCACGAAGCGCACTTAGGACGGTGTTGGTGTTAAGGTAAAACCCAACTGGATTATAAGAATCACTGAACGGAAGCCTGTCAGCGCAAAAGTGGCAATCCTCTGACTAAAGCTACAACAGGCTAAAGTGTTGACCGTTGCAAATTAAGAGGATAATGATTCCTTCCTTGACGAAGTGGAGGAAGTGCCGAATACGGAGGGCCTCATTCTCATGGATGATTTAAATACGCATGTTAGAGCAGAGACTGAAAAGTGAAAAGGCGTTATTAGGAGGAACGGTCTCAGCGACCTCAACAATAATGATACGAAGTTGTTGCGGTTTATTGTAAATAAAGACTGTCTATTATGAGCATTGGAACGTTATCAGTATACCTGGTACAGGTAGGCATGTGCATAGAAATCGATAATCTATTTGACAATCGTATCGTCTGACTTACGACCCTCTGTAACGGAATATTCTCGTTAAAAGAGGTGCAGAGCTGTCAACCGATCACAAGCTTGTTGTTGGCATGCTGTGCTGTAAAAAATGGAGCAGGTGGCAGAATTAACCAGAGAATCAAATAGGAAACATAATCTTCGGTGGACACGAGAGCGAAATTTGTAAATAACATCACAGCTCCCGGTGATGACCACAGATGCGGAAACCGAGAGTAAGCTCTTAAAAAGCGGCTGATTCGATTGTGCTGCAAAATGCAGCGGATTCATAATGGGTTGGGCCGATGCGTGAAGGTCAAAAATGATCTTCCTGGTAGAACGAAAGGTTCAATCTGCTATCAGCAAAAAATTCTGCAAGTGAGAGGTGACTTCGAACTAAAGATTCAACGGCTGGAATGTGGCGCGAAGGCAGCAGCCATAGCGAACCATGAGGCACCGCAGCCGAATTTCCAGAAGCAAAAGAACCATTCAGGCAGATCAGCGGCCACGTCCAAAATGGAAAGGACGTCTGTTTAGCGATCCACTGGAACAAGTCCAGAAGCCCAAAAGGATACAGTCGTAGCTACGAAGCCCGAATCGATGAAATCCGCCGAGGGATGCTTAAAGCGTTAGGATAACAATGGTTCTCTCAAACTACAACGGCCACGCAGAAGGCACGAACGGAGTGGAGAAAGAGGGTTGCAGTATCTCTGTTCAGTAAATGAGGCCGCAGAAAATAAGGAGTGCTGCAATTATCGGGACGTTACCTAAGCAAACCTCCCGGGGACAGTCTCACAAAAGTGCTAGAAAGGAGGTACAGCGGAAAAAGCGATTCAAAGATACAAGAAGAACAATGTGGCTTCCAGCTCCGCCGAACACATCTGACCAGAATTTCGCCCTACACATTAAAATTTAATAAACATTTTCATATATAAACGTTGACTCACGCAAAACAGACATCGTAGACGGGGCAGAAAAGCAGAACGTAAAGGTATGACACATGAGTTCAAGAAAGTCAGGTACCGCATTTTTTGACTGGAGAACTTTAAGTCAATTAACTTCTGCTTTGCGTCCTCAAAATGATGAAAAAACAATGCAAAGTACCGTCTTCTGATTCCACGCTAAGTCCTATGTCAAATGTCAGCTTGCTCATCCATTCGGTGACTTCTCTAAAATGAGAACGAAGTTAATAAATGCAAACATTCAGTTATAGCTACTAAAGGAATGGGCTTAATCTTAACGTTGTTATCATTTATTCAAATAGTATTAAAGTGTCAGTCTAATTAGTCTCTAGTAGTCGAACTATCAAAAAAGTTTTCAAATGGATACTGATGCCGGTTTTCAATTAAATTTTACACATATCAGCTGATTACATTCATTTATATTTTTGCATGAATAATTATTTAAACAGTTTAGTGCAGATTCAAGGAATGTGAAACCCTAGTGAATCTTGAGCAAGATTATAGATATTTTCCGTGCCAAGCTGGCATACAACCTGTTATCACAGATGGACAAAAAACATGATTCATGTACAGGAAGAAGTAGTCATTCAGCCCAGCATGGCATAGGTTACAACACACAATATCATCACAATTATCATAATCGCAATCGCTTAATTTATTCCGTTTATTCATTTATTTTTAAGCACGAGAAAGATATAGATTTATGAAATTTAAATTTAAGTACCTTAAAACGGGTATGTTCATGCGCTGTTTGCGAAGTCCGTGGAGAAGAACAGATTCGACAGCCGACAAAAGGTAAAGCACATTACAGTTGCGTTCGGTGACGTAAGCCGTCTCTTCGGTTCCAAAATTTGCCTGGCACTGAAATCGAGAGTAGAGAATTTGTTATGGAAATGTTTGAAAATAAGTCAACAAGGAAGTCATGTTCATAGTCTATTCTTGGGGAAATTTCAAAGACTTTGACACTGGGATGCGAAGAGCATTGCAATGCCTTTCCTTCAATAATTACCTGTGCCGTGAAAGCTGACCATGAATGTGGAAATGGTTAGTTAAAGAGGACTCAGTGAGGCTCTGCCAAAACGTGAGCATTATTTCCTTGATAAGTACAACCGCAGAGCATGAGAGCAATCTTTTAACTGTCGACTTTCAAAGCAAAAATACACCAGTCGTAAAATAAGTGAATGAATTAACTAATTACTGGATGAATAAAGGAACGAGAGTGGTTGAGTATGACCGAGTGAATTAACGAATTCACAAATGAATGTACGAACGACCGACAGCCAACACCACTAGAGTAGAACCGCACTTCAAATTCCTTCCAGGAAAGACAAAATCATTCGAGATATTAAAGGTATGCTTCTGCTGATGATCTGCTCAGCATTTGTTTAGCAACTTTGACAGAACTATTTATTCCCCTTTTAACGATCAAACTGTGAAATTCAATATGCGCCTATTAAAAGTCACTGCTGTATAAATGCAACCAGTCCTTATCAGCAGGTATATCGACAGTACAGATAATAATGATAATGTCTCAAGTCTAAGTTCACTCCAACACAAACGTGAGAAACGGTCATTCACAGCCGTTGATTCTAACCAATGCTTCACGTTGACATATTCAACTCTGTCATCATTAAAGATGGGTGTATCTTGGTGTTATCCTCAAATATTTGCGCAAAGGATAAACGACCAAAACAGACGAAATATTAGAATTTCATATAAAATTTTTAAATTTACATTAACATCTCATTTTGGTTTATTGTCAGGTATCAGAGCATCGATGCAGCCGAAAGGCACACACATCAGACAATGTGAATGCATATCTCACAGACTTTTGCATGACCACATGAAAGCACAACGATGTCACTATTTTCGCAGGTCAACGACCAGCTAACGGCTTTCGACTGATTCGGCTTAAATACAGTGAGTGCAATTCTTTACTGAACGAAATTAAGAGAAAATTTATGCCAGGGGAGAATTTGATCTTGATGCCTATAAAGTAGAAAGCAAACTACCAATCCGTTGCATCACTCCCTCCTCCGATACGTGTGTGGCCAAGTTAGCATACCGTATTTTTCTAAGGAAGGTGTTTATTATTATTAACTTATTCCCTTTAGCCATTTGCGTAACATGCGTTGAACATTTCTGATCTGTGATAACCAACACGTTCCCAGAATTTCAACGTTCTTGCTAGAACACACCGGTTACTGTATCGTACAAGCAAATATTCCTCTCCGAAAGAATATCTTGCTCTACTTTGCTTCTCGATTTTGAACGCCTACATCTTGGTCGATATCTGCGTCGTTTCGGTTGCCACATGAGAAGCTGCCGGAAATGAGTAAATGCAATCTGCTCAAGCGGTGTGTCTAATAGGGCAAACCTCATTTCCCAATCTGCACATCTACTGAGATCACCTGTTGCCCAAAGGAAACAGAGCCATTCGTTACGTGGTCCTGCCATTTAACTCTCATTATGCGTCTAAGGCCACACTTTTGCATAAAACCGTCGATCTTGCTAGTTCTTTAATATAAAGGGGAGGGAATGGTTTTGCAACAGGATCCCAATAACGGGTAAACTTTGGGACACATTAAATAAATTTACCTTATTTAGGCTTTCTAAGAGTTTCATCTGTAAAAGTTGCTTTACATTCAACATTCTCGAATCGCGATCGATCACCGCTTGAATCTCTGACATGGTCTGCAAGAAACCTAGAACAAACAGAGGCAGGTGAGTGAAAACGTGATTAAGCAGATGCAAATACAAATAAGCGGACAACGTGTCATGAACAGAAAAATGTCGTACTTCTCTGGAATTATCGGGGGACCAATCATGTCAAAACACAATCACTACACTTCTCCAGCTAATACTGTCATCGCTATCGAACGTTATCATACATAAGTACACCGAAAGTCCAGTGCGATTTAGAAATTGACTGAACTTTCGCCGAAATTACTGGTAACCATGAGGGCAAAACGTTAAAGCCTACGTTCGCCACTTTCGCACAATCTGTGGGTACAAGTTTCCATATCTCTACAAGATATCTTCTAGTCTAAGGTACAAACCGTTCATAGCTGAATTCCATCGGTCATTCGTCGATAGCACGATTTAGATCACCGTAGTCCGACTGGAGCTCCGCAGAAAACTTTGGAGCATTTCTGTTTGTTCTTTCCATTCCGCTCGATCTTCGTATGTGATATCAGTTACTACTCAGGCTTCTCAGAAGTCAGGCGACAAAACGTATGTTTACCCATCATTCTTGCTGAATACGTTTAGAGATAATAGCTCTATGAGTACTGCCCGGTGAGCTTGGGCAAGGCTAACTCTTCTCAAGCGATTTCTTCTTGGAACCGTAGAGGGGTTCCTCATTACACGGAGAGATACACAGAATGACGTTAAATATAAAGTGATCAGTTTCCATATATACAACGGTCGCATGTTCTTCCCTTTAATTTTGTGAAATGATCCTTAGTCTCAAGTCTCACCGGACACTCGATAAAATGGGGCTGCTGGATGCGCTACAGTCGCAGATAAGGCAACAACGCATTGCTAATGCTTATGCCGCCATGCTGAGGAGTATGATAGATTTTAAATGCAGTAGTTCACTTTCGTGGTCGTCTTACAACCACTGATTTTACTTTAAGTGACAGGGCAAGCGGGAATGACAAAGGCCTGATTGTTCAAATCGACGTGATGGAACAGAACCTACGAGGTGGAGTTGGAACAGGGGCGAGAAAATGCTAACGAGTTAATTTAGCAGCAATCGAAATTAAAATCTTTTGCAATGCACTAGTGCAATCAAGTCAGCTAAAACTTTCTTTGTATTCTGTGCCGTTGACTGAAGTTGACCTGTTTTCATTTTACACCATTAACGAAAACACTGTGCAGAGCTTTCAGAAGAACTATTATTTTAAATTCTTCGTTACTCCTATTTCTGTTAGTTTCATGTTTGCACACGTTCGTCATTCACAGCCGACTATTGCGGCAAACTTCTCGCATCACAAACTAATAAACTGGCCAAGAAGGCGAAATTCACAAAAACATAAGTAGATATGCATTACACCTACACACAAACAACCACTATGACTTTTTCCTCGCAGACATAAAAATCAGCTGTATAACTACCGTATGCTAGAAACGCAGGTTTGCTCATTTCACAAACACAAACCCTTTACGAAACGATAGAACCTCCTGAAATATTCTATATCCTCTACACAGAAAATTATAGCCGATGAAATGTAAGAAAACTCCGCCTCCGCCTATTTAGCTATCCGCACTTCTACGAGATGAGGTCGGTGCCATCACCGGGCCCTGCGTCAACGGCCGTCATGTCAGTGTGATTCGTTGCGTAAAATCGGTCTGAACATGTTGAACCCAGTAGATGGATGGAATCCGTTTAGCACAATTAATTGAATTACGTTGACCGAAGAAAGTTTGTGTTGCAATATGCTGATGTTCAGCGAATTTGTTCACTCAGTTGGCCATTGTTGCGGCAGTTATAATTATATTTCTTGTATCATTCTTTGATTAGGTTTCGACATCCATGTACTAGTGTATCTGGTTGTTTACATTAAATTTCTTACACTCCTACACTTCCTTTAAGTCCCTCTTCATGGTATGGGTTAGATACTTATTCATGTTTATCTATATCCGATTGCTGTTGTGTTCTTTATGATACAGTGCAAAATGTGGTGCCTTATAAGATAAACTTTGCTGTATTTTTGGTGGCGCAGATTAGTACTTCGGGCTGACGCTGTAGCAGCTTACACCGGTATAAAATCTCAGATGCTGATCTTTTACCTTATAATGCTGCAGGTTATTGCGGTTGTATTAAAAATGGACACTGTTTCCATCTTGTACTACAAGTTACATTTCCATTATACAGAGCAGTAATTACGATAGATTCTTGCAGTATGTTTATGACACCATCTTGTCTTAATTGCGCGTTATGCTACGTTACTTTCAATTATTGCAGTGTTGCGGTGATCTGTATTTTGACCGAATTTTAATGTTAAATGTTATTTTTTAACTTTTTTTCTGAAAAAAAACTTTCCAAGTGTGTGAGGCAGAAGCATTTTTGATACATTGCTGACTGTTCCTTTATAGTAAGAGTGACTCCAATGTTCGTGCGGATTTTTCGTTTCCTGTTTGCCGCAAAAGTTGACGTATGTTTCTGTCTGACACGTACAGAAAAGAGGAAGGCCTTGGTGAACGGCAATTAAATGCCAGTCATCTCTTGCACCGTGCTCTCATGTTATTTTTTCGGTGCCGCACAGTCTTAGTTTCGGTGGATCGCGTGTTTGTTTTAAATTCCTAGTTTGCCCAGAGAAGTCTTGAAGTAGTTAGTTTGTTTGTAGACGCATTTCGCTGTAAGACGGTCTTCCTATGCTAAACAAAGGTCAGCTATTAAGGAATTCTTTGAGGTCATCAAGGCAGGTAGTATTGATCGTGGGATGATGTACATTTTCGTACCATTATGAAAGATCTATTTAGAGGAACGATGTTCTGTCTACATATTTAAAGCAAAGTAACGACTCGTGTCAATCGTATTTATGCCGAGAAAGTTCTGAACCTTATGATCAGCTGTCTTTAACTGATGTCACATGTTGCCTTTGGCAAAACTTTTGTAAATGTATATATACTCAGAGCTTCATGTCAACGTTAGACAGTATAGCTGGTTGCTAACCGTAGTTAATTGTTTATCGTATCGCCGTCGAGTCACCGCTTTACGGCCAACGGCTTTT